GCCAGTGGCGGCCCTCGGGTGGCAGTGCACAGGGCTGGACTGGAGGAGGTGCCCATCGGGTGACTGTGGATAAAACCTCCAGAAATTTCAAGCTTTAAAACACTTCATCTCCATACTCTTTTAAAGCCTCAAGAAGACTTTTTATTTGCTCAAACCAGTGAGTGAAGGAGACGAGGCAGGGCTGCCCAGGCCGCCTGCAGAGGCCTCCAGCCACGGCCAGGGCCTGCCGGGCCAGGGCTGCGAGCTGGCCAGGTCTCCATTCAGGAGAGGTTTCGGGAAATTCAGGAGCCCCTCAGTGCCCTTACTTCACTAGCCCTGGGCCAGAGCCAGGCCCGCTGTGCGTGCTGGGTGCAGGCTACTGCAGGAAGGCGCGGAGGAAGTCGTTGTAGGCGACCCTGGAGGACAGCGTCTTGTCGTAGTACTCCAGCACGTGGAAGAACTCCTCCTCCGAGAGGTTGATGCTGTACTGCCTCAGCACCTGCGGGACACAGCAGGCCACCGTCACCCAGGCCAGCCTGCAGCCCTCCCAGAAAGGCACGCCTCACTGGACGCAGCCCCGGGGCGGCCCCTCTGTGCATCTGGGTGTGACACTGGAAGGGATGGAAACCCTGGCTCTCCCGGGCTGCAGGTCAATCCCCCGGCCCTCCTGAAGGGCCACATGTCCAGGCAGGGTGAGCAGACGGAGGAGCGGGTTGGGGTGGGGAGACCTGGCCTCAGGGCCTTAATGTGGGTGGCCTCAGGCCACCGGGGCGGGACAGTGATGCAGCCTATGGCAGAGACAGCTGTTTGTCCGCCCAGAGCCAACTGCCCTGCCCCAGTGACAGAACCTGTTTTTCTTCTAGGCTGCTGTGGCCCACTATCAGGGACCACTTCTCAGCCTCCCTTGCAGCCAGGCACCTGACCAGAGGAAACGAAAGGAGAATGCTATTTGGAACTTCTGCGAGACTGCTCTAAAGGAGAGGCGCAGGTCCTCTTCCTCTCCTCCTTTCCTCTCTGGAATGTGGACATGAGGCTGGGGCCCCAGCAGCCATCTTGGACCACGAGCTGACACTGGGGGAGGAAGCCAGGCACCCAGGGTGGTAAATGGAAACGCGTCCCTGATGACCGTCCAGCCACCATGCCAGCTCTGGACTCCCTGATGTGGAGGGAAGGCAACTTGGACCTTCAGCCACAAATCCCAAGAGACAGATTCTGGTCATAGAGTGAGGCTCCCCATTCCTGTCTATGTTTTGTCATGGTTTGTTTCCAAGAGGAGACCCCTGGGCGGAGGGCAGCTGGCCTGGCTGTCTGGCCCCTGGGATGAAGCAGTGAGTGCTCAGCAGGGCCGGGTCCTCCGCCCCTGCCCATCTCCTCCTCTGCTGAGGGCAGTGTCTGAAGAAGGGGAGAAGAGAACCGCCCTCCTTCCTGCTCCTCGTTCATGGCCAGAGGAGAACCCTGGCTGCCACTGTGCCTGGCCCCAGGGAAGGTGGCCATGGCAATGTGGAGCCGCTGCAGGGCTGCTGACCAGGGCCTGGCCTGGGCT